GAAATCTTCAAAATCAGGCTTGCATTCTACACTCCCATCAAATCTCAGTTCAACCACCACATTGCTGGTTTTCAGTCACTAGCAGCTGTGATTTGGGGCAGTGCAGATCTATAAGACAGTTTTATAGTGAAATGTTTACAAAATTCTAAATAATGAAGAAAATTTTTGAGCCCAAAGTAAAAATTTATTTACCTTTCCTACCTTGACTTCAGCTTTTCTGAAGAGGTTGGACTAGGTGAGTGCTTTGTTTTCTTTCATTTTCATCATTACATTTGTCTAGAAAAATGAACTAATAGCTTTTAAAATCATCACTATCCTACAGATTTTTTATACTTATGAACTACTTTATCAGTAATCAGATTGAATGCAGGATACCTATTTTGAACATAAACTCTACTAACTCCTAAAACTGAGATTTGAACCAGGGTCTGTGTTCTCCCCTGTTCCTCCCAATCTTAGGAATTCTTAACATGTCAAGAAAGAGAAAAGATGAAGATACTTAAGCGGCAGCTTTTATTCAATACGATAGCCCTTTGCTGATTACTACCATGAGGTAGATAGTTAAATGATTTATTCATTCTTTTTCTGGGCCACAAAACTTTGTATTATAATGTTACTAATTTCAAAGTTTACCTAGACTTATCTCATAATCCTTTTCCTTTGACTTTCCTGGTATAGTTCAGTTTGCACAGTTAGAAAGCAGTTTTGTGGTAATACAAACATACTGACTCCAAGTTCTTTGGCCATAAGGCATTATAGAACCTCAGTTCTCAAGAAATAATTTGTAATGAGAAAGACAATGACTGGTATTTTACCTGATGCCCAAGATAAAGACGGTCTTCTATAAGGGAAGTTGCAGTATGCAGGCCGAAAAGATATCTTTTCATAATTTTCCCTTTTTTGTCAGAGGAGTAAATATTTTACAATTGTGAGATCTTCGGTTTTTCTTGAGAAATGAGAACTAGACATGATGGCACGTGCCTATAATTCCAGCTACTCAGATGAGACAAGAGCATCTTGAGTTTGAGGCCGGCCTGGGCAACTTAGCAAAATCCTGTCGCAAAATAAAAAATGAAATAAAGGGCTGACTGCAGCTGAATGGTAAAGCACTTGCCTAGGATATAGCCAACCCTAGGTTCAGTCCCCGTGGCAGAGGAAGAGGGAGGGGAGGGCGTCTATAAACGGGACCTACGACCCTTATGGGATTGAGCAGTTGCTCCTTTCCTGACGGGAGGTATGAAGCATGCCCTTCCTTCTACCCTCAGCGCGCACCTCTAGTCACAGGGAACTGGAAGAAATTTGAAAGAAGCTTCTTCAAAAAGTTACAATGTTAAAAACAACTGGAGAAGAAATTATATAACAAATCAGCACCCATAGGAGAGTAAACTTGCAGAAAAAGACAAGATACAAATAAGTACCATTGCAGAAGGGAAATACAGCTGGTAATCATTTAGTTACCATCAAAGGCCAGCTATGCTAAAAATCATCAGGAAGCAGAGCCCACTCTTAGATTCAGAGATAATAAAGATGTTCGTCATGTGATGTTCAGACCACAGTGTGGGAGGTCTTAGCCTGTTCTTAGATCAAACCCTGAGGCGGAGCCCACGGTAATAACAAAAATAACTTGAACTTCTCACCCGTAACAAGCACAACTTTTTCGTCTGTTTAAGAAGTACTTATAAATTCAGCAAGTAGTTTATCTTTTCTTTCTTGGTTTGCTTTACATAAATTACTAAATTGTGAATTACTGGATTATGCGATGTTGTCCTTAGCTCAGGTGATTGTTAAAAATTTTCGGAGTATGTTCTCTGATTTTCAGTCTGTTTCACACTTGCTTTCATGTCAGACAAGCCGACAGGTACCAGACATTTCCTGTGCTTCTAGACTCAGGCCCTTTTTCTCTTAAGTCCTTTTGTAACCATCAGCATTGACAATCTATATGTATCTTGTCATTGGAATGCTAGCAGCAGGAAGGAATGGGTTTGTGTTTCTTATAACTTTTAAAAGAATAAGAAACCCATTTGTTTGAGAACTGTCTTCTTTTGTAAGCAATGTATAATACTGGTTGAGTCTAGAGCTTTAAAAATAGTTTTAGACTATTGAAGATTTTATTTAATGATCATAGGTTTATATAAATAGTAAGACAGCCTCTTTAGGACTGAGTGTGTGGCTCAGCGGCAGAATGCTTGTCTGCCATGTGTGAGGCCCTGGTTCTATTCCCAGGGCTGCAAGAGAAAAAAAATACTAGCACTATCTTTTCCTGGTTTTTTTTTTTTTTTTTCCCTAGCATGACCTCGGAAAACTCAGTGTATTAAATTGAATTTGTGTAGAGTAGACACAAGATTGATTATACACACAAATGTGAAGTGAGAAAGTCAGTCTTCTTTGCCTCTTGGCGTGTATCCTCTTAGTCCCTTTCTTATTCTAACTTTTGAAAGTGTTTTGAGTCCTTTCCTGGTGCTATATTCTGAGATCAAGTTTTTGGATTTTAATATGGTAAGAACATTTAAACCTGAGATGTATCTTTTAACAAACATTTTAAGTGAGCCGGGTGTGGTGGCTCACGCCTGTAATCCCAGCACTCGGGAGGCTGAGCCAGGAGGATTGTTGCGAGTTCAAGACCAGCCTTGGCTACAAAGTGAGCTCAAGGCCAGCCTGAACTGCATAGCGAGACCCCATCTCAAAAAAGACAAAAAAAAATTTACGTTTATGATACATTATTGTTAACGTAGGTATAATGTTATAATTTTGCTTGAGTGAGACTTTATACCTGGTGGCTAGGAATTCTTCATTTCTCTCTTCCCTTAATTCCTGGTAACCAGCATTTAACTTTAATTCTGTGAATATGACTGTTTAAATACCTCATATAAGTAAAATCCTGCAGTATCGTTCTGTGACTGGCTTATTTCAGTTAACAGAATGTCTTGAGCATTCATCAGTATTATATTATGAAATTTGCTGCTTTTTAAAAGCCTAATTATGGCCTGGGGATTTGGCTCGGTGGCACAAGCACTGTTTGGCAGGTTCAAGGTCATGAGTTCAATCCCCAGTACCAAAAATAAATAAATCAATGCCAAATTCTGTACCATTATATTTATGTACTGCATTTTCTTTATTTATCTATTAGCAATTGGTTGTTTCCTCACCCTGGCTACAGTGCTGCTATAAACATGAAAGTGTTAATATCTCAAAGTTTCTGATTTTAGAAGTAATGTAGGAGAGCTGACAGAAAAGCTAGGAAGTAAACTTTTAGAGGTTGGGAAGGGGATGACAGGATGAGAGGAAAATAATCAAAGTATGTCATGCAGATATACCGTCTACTAGAATGAATCTTCTGTATTACTATTACACATTCTGGCTTTAATTCTTTTTGGAAAATACCCAGTGGTGGGATCACTAGATGATGCGGTAGTTCTATTTTTATGTTTTTGAAGAGCCTCCATCCTGTTTTCGGTAGTACACCATTTTGCATTCCTGCCAGCAATGTGCAAGAGTTGAAATTTCTCCACCCTGAGCAACACTTGTTTTTTGTTTTTCTGATAATCACAGAAAAATAATCATTTTTCTGACAGGTGTAAAGTGATGTCTCAGTGTGGTTTTGATTTACATTTCCCTGGTGTTGAACTAATGTTGAACACTTTTACCAATACCTTTTGGCCGTTTTGGTTTTGTTTTTTTGTTTGTCTAATTTTAAAGCGAATAAAACCAAATGTAAAATGATACAAAGCAAAACAGTAATAGGACAGTAGGAAATCCACAATTGTTATTCTGTTACATATTATTCTCTAAATAATTGCCCAGATTACTGGCCACAGGCCTGAAAAGTCAATCAAATAACGTACACGTCAGGCTGCTTTCCTACTTCAGTTCTCACGTGTCAGCCTCTGTGGTGTCCTGTTGCTCCTGGGGCCGGGGGAGTCAGGCGGGCCTGTGCGGCTCCCGGTGCACAGTGGGGCTTCAGGTGCACAGTGGGGCTTCAGGTGCACAGTGGGGCTTCAGGTGCACAGTGGGTGGTGACTGCCTTGCTTCCTTGCCGTGTGTCCCATGGGGGTGGGAGGCAGGCAGGTGCCCTGCAGCACACGAGTGGGGGCCACACTGCCTCCCTGCCATCCGTCCCTCCCTATTTGTCCTTCGGGGATTTTTTTTTTTTTTTCCTTTGAATTCTGAATTCTCTCTCCATGGGCTCCAAGCCTGAGTTCAGATCCTTCCTGTGTCCATGGTGCCCTCCTCTCTCTTCCTTCTCTTCCTCATGCTGCTGCATTCCAGGTCTGGACCCCAAAACTTGGAGAGGTTTTTTTCTCTGCTACTCACCACTCTGTTTTCCCAGAAGTGCCCTTTTGGCCATTTTTATGCAGTTTGGAAAAATACATATTCCAAGTACTTAGCCCATTTCAAAGTCAGTTATCAGTTTAACTTTTGAGTTGTAGGCACTCCTTATATATTGAAGATTATCTCCTTATTAGAGACATAATTTGGAAATATTTTCTATTCTCTCGGTTACCTGATTTATTCTATTGATTGTTCCTTTTGCTGTGTGGAAGCTTTTTAGTTTGTAAGGTCATATTTTTTTATGTGCTGATCATAAAAGTGCATAAGCATCTATAGGTTGAACAAGTAACGTGGTGTAAGCATGGTTGTTGTCTATGAAAGTCATTTTACTCTTAACAGTTACAGAGACTTCCATCACCAAATTACTTTGAATTTTTCTACTTCCACTTTTTTGGCCTTGAGAAAAATATGTTAAAATTATATTTTAATTACAAAAATTATTATTTTCAATTAAGGAAATGGCCAGTGATTTTCCCAGTTTTGGACTAGATCTCTACAGTACCACTTTGTTTGCTATGTGCTGTAAAATATATAACAAAACAACTCTGCATAAAGAGAATACAACTTTGAAGTAGCTATTTTGTCTTGTTTTTATTTTATCACATTAATGACTGACTTTTCTACCAAATAGGAAATGTATGTGACCTAATTTCTGTCTTGTGTTTCAACAGAAGGAGATTATATTAAAATGTTTATGAGAGGTCGGCCAATTACAATGTTCATTCCTTCTGATGTTGACAACTATGATGACATCAGAACAGAACTGCCACCCGAGAAGCTCAAACTGGAGTGGGTGTATCCTTTGCTGCTGTGATACCAAATGTATTGACTTTATCTCTAGTTTAAGAAAAATTAGCTTGCCTAAATTTCTAAAGTTGTTCTGTTACCCAAAAATAAATATAATGAACACAACAACCATTTGAAAAATTAAAAAGGAAACATCCTCTCTGATCTTCCACATACTGTATATATTTTGCTATCAGCAATTTAAAGCCATCAAATTAATTCAGAAAAGAAAAGCAGTATTCCAGCAGCTTACAGCAGATATTGCTGTCGTGTTAAAGGCACTGAACTAGAATTGGAACACTGTATTTGAGGTGATTTGGTTTCATTTGGTTAGGTTTGGTTTTTTTGAGACAGGATCTCACTGTAGTTAGTTCAGCTTGGCCTCAAGCTCATTATGCAGCCCAGGCTGACCTTGAACTTACAGCAGTCCTCCTGTCTCTGCCTCCTAAGCACTGAAAATATAGAAGTACACCACCATGCCTAGTTGATGTTTGATTTTTTTTTTTTTTTTTTTTTTTTTTTTTTGTCTTTTTCATTTTTACCGGTACCAGGGATCAAACTCACGACTGCCTGCTTGCAAGGCAGGCGCTTATGCCGCTGAGTTAATCCCCAGCCCCTGTGTTTGATTTTTGGCTCTGCCTTTTACCTCTCTGTGAACCTTGATTTTTTTCTTCCTTAATGAAGTTAATAATCCTTGCCTCACAAGAATTCAATAAGAAAACATTGGTTAAACATTTTGCACCCTGTGGAACTATATATAATACAAACCATTTTATTAACATTAAATTAACAAGGTTGATTTTAATTCCAAAATATTTCTCTACCAGTTGTTTCTTTAAAATGACAATTTAATTAATTAATTTGTTTATTTTTGATACTGGGGATTGAACTCACAACCTCATGCTTGCCAAGCAGGCACTGTGCCACTGAGCTAAATCCCTGCCTGGCCCTTAAAATGACAGTTTGAAACAGAACTTGCCTCATTTTACCTAGAAAGTCTCACATTTCTTAGAACCTCTAAGAAACTCAGTAAAGTAGAAAAGAGCTAACAGTATGAATTCTGCTTTGTGCTTCCGTTCTCCTACATCTCCAGGCCCTCAGATTCCTTAGTTACAACTACTTTTTAATGAACTCTCCGTCTGCCCCTTGCCCGACTACCCTTATTCATCATGTCGGGTTCTGCATGAATGTCACTTTGTCACGTAGTCCTTCTTTTGTTCCTCCTGTCTCTGCCTATAACAGGTCTTCCATTTGTACTTTCTCCTGACATCTCAGACTTTTTCTTTCCGTGTTTATAGTTTCATATTTGTTGATTATTTCTGTCTTCCAGAGTACAAGTTCCAAAGCCACAGGCTGCATGTTTGCTTTGCTCAAAACTGTTTAGCAGAGCAGAGCATAGTAACACACATACCCATCAACCCAGCACTCGGGAGGCCGAGGCAGAGAGATAAGTTCTAGGCCGTGCTGGATGACATAGCAAGACATGTCCATTTTTTTATTTTTATTTTTTAAAGCAGAACTGTGTGTTCAGCGTTGTGCCTGATACATCTAGGAACTCAGTACCTATTTGTCTAGCAAATGAGGAAACTTATGACTTCAGCATAGCAAATGACACAGAGTTGTGTAATGCAGAATGTGACTTTTCTAGTCCAGTCCAGTCAGTCCAGAAGGTATACCTTCTTGATTACCTAAACTCCCTTGAAAAACTGTTAGTTCAGTACCCTAAATACTGTATGTTAAGAACCTTGACTCTCACCTTTTTTAAGATACGGTTATCGAGGAAAGGACTGCCGAGCTAATGTTTACCTTCTTCCTACGGGGGAGATCGTCTATTTCATTGCATCAGTAGTAGTACTATTTAATTACGAGGAGAGAACGCAGCGACACTACTTGGGTCATACAGACTGTGTGAAATGGTTGGTGTCAGTTTTGTTCTTTGTACCATTTGGTGTTTGTTGAATTTGGATTGTATTAAAAATTTCTTATGGAAAGCTCAGAATGGAACATATTACGGTTATTACTTAAATATATTTTGAAAAGAAAAGTTTAAACTCCTTAAAAATGATCTATGTATCAGCAGCAATAAAATATACTCCATAACTCAGTTGAAATTTCTGCTTTCTCAGGTTCCTTTAACCCTTTTCTTCAGGTCTGTAGTATGAAATGTAGGTAGGACAGATTGGACTTTCACAGGTTTCTGAGAGTGATTATTGGTTAATATTTATTGAGAAGTTAGTTAATCCTCTGTAGATAAATTATAATCTCTGGCTTTTCTCGTTTATGGAAAGTAGTATAAATGAATAAATAGGATTGTAACTATAAGGTTTCAAACTATAAAAATATGAGAATAACTTAAATGTGTAGGTTTTTTTAACTATAAATTTTGCTGCTTATAAATTCAGTCTTTTATTATCCAAATTACTGTTTTCCAACATTTTAGGAGCTTTGCTTCTTTATGACAACTATATCCACACAAAAACATGTAATGAATAGGATATTATATAAATATTTTTGAACCTTAAGGATAATGAAAATATTTTAACAATAATTAGAAAATTATTGCACTATTGAGATAGTAAAGGTTGGAACCAACCTTTCAATTGAGGATTAGTGAGGTTGTGTTATAGATTACCATGCAGCTGTAAAAAAGAATGAGGAAATACTGTATAAATAAGGAAAGGCCCCTAAAATATACCTCCAAGTACATACATTAAAGAGCAGGAGAACATGCATATGTTCCTCCACTTGTGTGAAAAAGAAGTAGAAGCCAAGTTTGGTGGCCCATACCTGTAATCCTAGCTACTCAGATCAAGAGTTTGTGCCTACTCAGAGCAACCCAGCGAGATAATGTCTCAAAAAAAAAAGAAAATAAACATTTTTCTTGATTTTCACAAATGTGAAAGTTTTCTAGAATTATTAGGAAGAAGCAGCTGGGGCGGTGGCACATGCCTGTAATCCCAGCACTCAGGAGCCTGAGGCAGGAAAATCCATGCAAGTTAGAGGCCAGCCTGGACTACAAAGTATATTGAAGGCTATCCTGAAATATGTAGTGAAACTCAGTCTCAAAAAGACCCCTTCTCCTCCCCCCACAAAAGAAAAGAAACTACTTAAAGTGGTTACCTGGGCAGCCTCAGAATAGGGAGGGACAGGAACAAGCCAGATTCAGTCTTAGCATTTAGGGCTGTGAAAAGGGAACTTTTTTCAGTGTATTTTTTGCAGTGTTTGATATTTAAACCATGCAAATGTATTATCTAATCCAAAAATTTTATTTGAAAATTTGAAACATCTGATTAAATGTTAAGATTTTAATGTGTTTGGTTTTTAGTTACCATTAATATACTTGGTCTCAATACAGAATATAAGAAAGAATTAAATTCATAAGTTGTAGTGTCCTTAGTGATCAAAGAAATGGAAACAAGATACTATTTACACAGATCAAACTACTAAGACATTTTATTGAAACAACTTAATATAGGGAAGCTATGGGAACTTTGGGAACATTTTTTATCGTGAAAATTTAAAAAGATTCTAGATATGAATACAAGAACATTTTTTGTAAAATATTTTGCTAATCATATGTTCTACCAGAGTCAGTTTGAGCATCTTTGTTACACTGTCTTCCATTTTTATTTAAAAATTCTTTGCCCCAATGTAACTTTAAAGAATTAATTCAAAGGTTGATGCTGTTATGTTTGAAGATGTTTACTGCTTTTTATTTTTGTAGAGAAGTAGAAATGGCCTAAAAGGTGAGAGAACTGTGGAGTCAGTAATACATATAAAGATTATGTACCAAAATCTAAAAGTGCTTATATTTTGGCAGGTTAAAATTATACCTTGCAGTACTGCATGTTTTATACATCTGTATGAATAGGTGTGCCTGTGCACATGGACTGGACAGGAAGGTGAACAAATGAAAACAGTTTCATTTGTTATCATGCCAAGCTGTGAAAAATGTGCAACTTAGCAAAAGTGTATAGCTGAAAACTTCGAAATCTTTGGATAATTGACATGTATTTTTCTAAAGAAAATAAAATAGGTCAGAGTGAGTTTTATTATGACTAAAAATTGTTTGGAAAAAATGTTGATACAGGGGTACGTTTCTGCTATTTCTCATTTCCTGTATTTTTAAAATTATTGTTAATACTGCTTTTTAGCCTTGCTATACATCCTGACAAAATTAGGATCGCAACTGGACAGATAGCTGGAGTGGATAAAGATGGAAGGGTGAGCAGCACAGTTTTATGCATTCTCTACCTAGTGATACCACTGTTAGACTAGAATTGTAATATTTTAGCAAAAACTTGTTTTACAATATGACTACTGAACGGTTTCCAGTATAAGCAGGGGAAATGTTTCAAAAGAAAATGATGTTACTACTCTTCTAAAGTAATAGATGTTCTCCCTATTATAAACTACTTTAAAAAACAAGAGGATTGATAATGTGTTTGTTAGCTTTTTCTTGATGCAGAATCTTACTTCTGGTTGTTAGAGGTACTGCAGTTAACCTTAGTTGATAGGGTCCCTTGATTTTATATATAAGGAGAAGAGATATCACGGAAAATGTTTATTAAATTGGTTTATACAGCAGATCTCTTAGTTCTGAGGTCAGCAGTGAATACTGATGTTTGAATAGCACATATGTGACTATATTCATGATATTTGCTGAGTTCAGCTTTAAAGCTGGGAAAAGTTTATGTTGGATAGCTTTGAAAAATTTTCTAGTTCCATATATTCAAGAACTCTTTACTTAGCAACTTATTGCACACTGATTTTTTTTTTTAAAGTTAGTCTCAGGACTGAAGATAATGTTAACAATAAAATCAACCCACTTGAACTCACAGTTTTTTTTTTGTCTTTTTCCTTTTTATCGGTACCAGGGATCGAACTCATGAGTGCCTGCTTGCAAGGCAGGCGCTTATGCTGCTGAGCTAAATTCCCAGCCCCTGAACTCACAAATTTGAGACCAGCCTAGGCAATATAGCAACATATACCATCTCAAAACAAAACAAAACCAGAAAAAAAAAAAAAAAAGAGACAAAATATTCAGAGCACATTTGCTTGGATTAGAATTGTGACCCTTCCATTCATTCATTTAGTTATTCATTTTTATCAGGAGCCCAGCTCATGACCTCATGCTTGCCAGGAGGCACTGTGCCCCTGAGCTATATCCCTACCCCCTGTCCCCTTTAATAGCTATATTTAAATCAAGTTATTTAAATCTGTTTCCTCATTTATTAGTTATTGTAATACCTGTGGTTCATAAAAGTATGAGGATTAAATGAGTTGATATGTGTATGACATACATAAAAGAATATGTGAAACAGCAAATACTCAGATAATTTGTTATCATTCTTGGTATTTCCTTATATTCATGGTATGAGAAAAAAGATGTGTGGGAGCATATCTAAAGCTGGTAGTTACTTTCTTACTAAATGTTTATCCATCCCTGGTACCCTTAAGGGTGGCAGATAGCTCCGTGTGGTAGTGTGTGACGTATTTGCATCCGTCTGGATCCCAGTGATGCCTGCTGCCTTGTGTTTTTGCAGCCTCTGCAGCCCCATGTCAGAGTGTGGGATTCTGTTAGTCTTTCCACACAGCAAATTATTGGACTTGGAACTTTTGAGCGCGGAGTAGGGTGCCTGGATTTCTCAAAAGCAGTAAGTACTATTTTTTTAAAGAAGTAAACCAGCTAAACAAAGATGCAGAAAAGGAGTTAATCTCAGTTTTCTGGGTGTGTCCATTGAAAGTGAGTGTGAGTTGTTAACATTAGCTGTCACCAAAGGACTAGCCTTGTACCCTGAGTGTTACATTTGACTTAGATGGTATCAAGATACTAAACTTAGACCTCATTTTGTTCTGTCCTAAGACAGGATTCTAGTGTAATAGAAGGAAATGGTTGGAGGATTATGTACAAATCATAGTACATATTGAAATAACCAGTATAACATAGTTTAACTTCAGTTCAAATTATAAATGTGTTTTATTGAAATTCGGACATTAAAAAAATTGACCTTTCTTGGTATCATATCGAAACAAAGGGAACAAAACTTTGTATCCCTAAAATCATGAATTTTCTTGGTCTGAACTGAAGTCAATATGGTTAAAATTTTGTCTAGCAATCTCATCTAGAGCTTGAAGCTTTATTCTAAGGGAAAAATACCGTAAGTATAAGTCTGATGTTGTTCATTTTAAATATTTTATTTTTTAATGGTATATATTATTAGAAAGTATTTGAGAGACATTTTAGGGTTCATGTTTTTAAATTTCAAACTAAATCCTTCTGGACTTTATAGGGCCTCATTTATGCTTCAGAATATATTTGTGTATTTATATTGCATCTTTAGTTCTTAGCTGTCGGCAGCTATACTCTGAATTATGGGAGTTTTTATATGAAATAGAAGAAAGGACAAATAAATTTGAGTGAATATAGAAATTTTTCCACCTTGAAAACACTGGAATATAAGGGTCCAACAAAGAATTAGGAAAAGAAAAACTTTACAAAAGAAAACGATAAAAACTGCTTTTACCACTTTCCCCCTAATGCCACTGTGAGTAGAAGTGTCGTTAGTACCATTGTTACAATGCTGCGGCTCTCACGGGTTGCACATACTTTCACTTTTCCTGATACAGGAAATCGTTCCGTACCAGCCAAGAGAAAGACTAAGCTCTGATTTCCTCAGTACCTTTCTCACCACAGACGGTACTAGGAAAACATGTTTAGTATCATCAGTAGATCTGTTAAACTGAGAGGCTTGAATTATGTGAATGAGAATAGTTCAGAAAGATAGGAAAAGGTTCAGTTCTATTTTTATCTTCATGTTGTTGTATGTCAGATATATCACAAAAATTGAAATCAGCAGATTTTAAAATACCCATTAATTTTACCTTATCCCATCAAATTACCACTAGAAACTTTGTAAATTTATGCATATTTTGAGCCACGTGTGGGGGTACATGCCTCTAATCCCCACGCTTGAGAAACTGAGACAGGCAGAATGTTGCAAGTTTGTGGACTAGGCTACATAGTGAGTTCCAGTCCAACCTGAACTCCGTAGTGAAACCTTGTCTCTGTTTCACGAAAAAAAAAGAGAGAAAAGTGATGCATAGTTCTTCCAACTTAGATGGTAGAAAACATCTGCAGTGTTTCCTAATAGCAAGATGGAATCAAAAGATGCTGAGATACTCGGATACCTTCAAAAATACTTCATTGCTATACTAATACAAGTGACTATATGGCAAGGGGAAATCAACCCAGAAGGGGAATAAATTAAAAATAGGGAGAAAAAAGTTTTAAAGAATTTGTGTGTATTTTTGAAGAAAGTGTAATTTTAGTAACCAATATATTCCTTATGTTTCGAAGAACATAGAATTTGCAAGAGTTTGGGTTACCTTATCACCACTTTTAATAATATAGTATTTCTTTCTTTAAAAGCCAGCCGTAAAAATGAATGCGTGAATGAATGAAAAGCCAGCATTACATAGCCAACATTTTTAAATGCCTTTAATTCCCTTTTCTTTAGGACTCAGGTGTTCATTTATGTGTTATTGATGATTCCAATGAGCATATGCTTACTGTGTGGGACTGGCAGAAAAAATCAAAAGCAGCAGAAATAAAGGTAAATCAAAACCATTTTTAATACTTATGTTTTATAGCACTTTTTGTACTTCTTGAGTATCTAGAGCTATATTAGATGAAAATCCTTAAGATACAAGAGTTAAACTCAGTGACTGAATTTGTCAGATTCACTGATTTAGTTTCAGACAATATTATGCTACTGAAGTATCAGAGTGGAACTTTCAAAATTAAGGCTAAACTTGGCCACTGTTTCTTTAATAAATTTTAATTTCATTCAATCTTCAATAAAGATTTAGAAATCTAGAAGAAAATTAATCCCAACATTAATTAGCATGACTAACCAGGAGGCACTGGTACAGGACAGGTGAACAGATCAGTGGAAGAAAATAGAGAAGCTAGAAATAGAGAACCCAAATTAATCTCTTGGTTTATGACAAAAGTGATATTGCAGTAGACAAAGACCAGTGTTTTCAGTTAATAGTGCTGGATTAATTAGGTATCCATAGAAAGAAAGTTATCTTGAACCTCACGGTATTTATAGAAATCAGGGTTAGTTGGATTATGGATCTGAGATAGAAATATAAAATTGTAAAACTTTTAGACAAAGATATCTTAAACATGACATAAAATACTAACATAAATGCAAAATGATTTACGTTACAGTGTGTTTCCAATGAAACTACTGTTCAGAATATATAAAGAACTTGTATACTTTATTAAGAAAATATTTTTTACTTATTTTGGAGAGAAGGGATACATTACTGTATTACTGTATGTAACATTCCATAGGTCTACAAAACTTGTGAAGAGAGAGGGGAGGTGATAGCCAGCTGAATCTTTACTTAAGAATGTAGAATTCCTGGGTCAAAGAGGACTCCAAATGGAACTAGGTGTTGTGAAAGCATAGGACTTAGATATATTTTCTTTAAAGAAAAGAAAAAGTATTGAATAACTGCAGTCACTTCCAAAAAGTACATGTTAAATTAAGGGAAAGTAATTCTAATAGTGTAAACGAGTCTGGCTCTGAAAGGAAACTGGACATCATATTCAAAATCTGTCCATGAAAATAAACACGGTACATCTTTAATATTAAAAAGTTCAGTCCAGAATTGGTTTTTAAGATCTCAGTTGTGCTCCTTGGTGGGGCATAATGAAGTTCCAGGGGCTTGTTCACTTTCCGGTGTTTCTCACTGACGAGTTCCAATGAAAAAGAGCCATTTAGTACAGTGAACTGGCCCCTGGCTGTTGCTGTATCAGTGGTGTACTGCTTCTCACTGGCTGTATCGAGGTTCATCTGGTTTGATTCTCCTTTGCTTCACAGTTCTTCTAAAGCTAACCTCACAGCCAGATACTTTGATAGGTGATCAACAATGGCATTACCTGAAGTCTTTATGTGTCTTATCTAGACACTGTCATCTTTTCCCGTAAGCGTGGGATGAGACCTGAGTACTCAGCTTCGCTAGCAGCATCCATGACTGGATCAGTTGGTACTGCTGCGTTGTTATTATCAAGTTCAAGCCCAGAGTCGTCACATGTTTTGATCCATTTGTTACTAGGGCCTGCTTCCTGACTGCTGTGTGTGGATGCATTACTACAGTGTGAACTGGCAACATTGTCTTCTGCTCCACTACCATTCTCAATCTGTTTTCAATCTTGCCCCACTGTACCATGTTCATGGCCTGGATTTTTCAGTGCTATGACTGAGTGCCTGCTGATTATTGTGCTTGTTGATCCTGGCTAATTACTCTCTCGATGAGCTTCTTACTCATCACAACTTGGATAAATTTTGCTGATGAATGCATCAAAGTTTGGGTCTGGCCTTAGTGATCTTTTGGAAACTGATTTTTCCAATGAATAGGACATTATCGCCACTTCCTAAGGCTGCAATCAACAGTCTGCATGAAAACGGCGCAAACACCCCTTTGTGTAGTCATTGTGTCCTTCAGCATATCCAAACAAATTGGGCACATTGATTCACTGTGTAGACTTCTAGGTGAAACCAGTTTCCAGGCCATCTGTTACTGCCTCCTGAGGTGTATGTTGTAATTCGTATAAGCTCAGTTCCCATGTTTTGCTTAGTGGTTGAGTTCCATTTGTCTGCACAGCCGGAGACATTGCGGCTCCTGCCCCAGCCCTGGGCTCCACTGGCTGCTGCCGGAGCAAGACTCTGAGATCAGCTGCTGCGCTGCCGCACAGGGAGTGAGCCTGAAAAAGTATACTTTTTAAACTGACAAAATACTTCACCAACTAGGAAATCCAGGTGATTAATAAGCATATGAAAGAATCTCGGCCTTATGCAAGAGTATCAAGAACATTGAAATTAAATCCACAGTAAGCTAGTGCTATATTTTATATGAGGAAGATAAAAATACCTAAATTGGTGAGGCTCTAGAGTAACTGGAGCTGCTGTGCACTGCTGCTGGGCATATACATTGATACAGACATTTGGGGAAACCCTCTGGCATTATCTGTTTAAGTTGAATGTGTGTGTATCTGCTGACCCACCTCATTCCTCTACTGGGTATAAATCCAGCAGAAATGTATACATGTGTTTAGAAAAAAACAAACAGCAATACTATTTATGATTACCCCCCCCCAAAAAAAGGGACAGAACAGGTTCAGTGATAACATGCCTGTAATACCAGCCTCTGAGGAATTGGAGGCAGAAAGATTGCAAATTCAAGACCAACCTGGGCAATTTAGCAAAACCCTATCTCAAAAAAAAAAATTTTTTTTAAGGGCTGGCTATGTAGGTAGTGCACTTGTCTAGACTGCATTCAATCTAGAGAGGGGGGAGACTACCTAATGTCAATCAGCAGAAGAGTGGATAAAACAATAATATGACCTTCGTTATACAAAGGAATTTCTGTACAGCAATTAGAATGAACACATTATAACAGTGTGTACCCACATCTCACAAATGTAATGTTGAAAAAACAAACAAGTCATGAAGGAGAACTTTGTTTATGACTCCATTAAATAAACTGACAGGGCTCTGTGTTAGCAGAAGTCACAATAATAAACATTTGAATGGAGGGAAGAATAGTAACTGGGAAGGAGACCTGTATTGTTTCTGGAATGTTAGTAATGTTATTAGTTTTGTTTCTGGCTTTAAGAAAGTGTATATTGTTCTGGCATTTTGTTACTTTAATATGCTTTTCCTAAATATGTAAGAAATTAAAATAATCTAAAACTTTTAGGGGGGCAGGGCCTCAAACTTGCAATAATGTTCCTGTTCCAGCTTCCAGAGTGCTGAGATTATAGGCATGCTTTACCACATGTAGCATAAAGCTGTGATTCATATAAATGTTTTCTAAGTGCAAAAGTTTTGTATATAACATGAAAATAGCATATGGACATCAAATTTAAACCTTTAATCCAGAAGTCTATTATCAAAGTGCTTGCCTGTCTTTGTCAGTAGCTATAGTTGGTACTTGATAGCAATAAGAATATGCGTTCACCTGTTCTCTTTTCACAGACAACCAATGAGGTTGTTTTGGCTGTGGAGTTCCACCCAACAGATGCCAATACCATAATAACATGCGGTAAATCTCATGTTTTTTTCTGGACTTGGAGTGGCAATTCTCTAACAAGAAAACAGGGAATTTTTGGGGTAAGGATCCGAATACTGTAAAATTTTTAATTGTTGAGTAAGTATACAATCATCATGCCAAAGGAATACTGAAAATTCTCACTGTTTCATTATAGAAGTATGAAAAACCAAAATTTGTGCAGTGTTTAGCATTCTTGGGGAATGGAGATGTCCTTACTGGAGACTCAGGTGGAGGCATCCTTATATGGAGCAAAACTACTGTAGAGCCCACACCTGGGAAGGGACCCAAAGGTACAGTATTCTCTTACTTAACTCATTGCAGACTCCGGGCATGGTGCTTTTGCAGTTCCAGCTCTTTCTTATACTGGGAAAAGAGCTACAGGAGCATCACCAGCATCTGTCTTGTTTTTACGGTTCTTCATAATCTTTTTTAAACGAATTTATCCGGTTACTTAGTAAGCATGTATAACCTACATGTAACTATACTTAAACTTCCCTCTTCGTTGCCAATACAAATAACTAGGGATATATTCTTAGTTACTTTTCTCACCACTGAGACAAAATACCTGACACCACAAGTTAAAGGAAGAAAGGTTTATTTCAGCTCAGTTTGTAGATGTTTCAGTTCATAGTCAGCTGGCTCCCAGCAGGGCAGCATGGCCAGAAGAAGGCAGCAAGCCGCAGCTGCGGCAAGCCTGCTGCTTCTGTCCCTTCATATTCCATCCAGCTTAGCCAGCTGTTGGATGGGGCTTCCAGTATCCACACCTTTAATCCTAGTATCTCACCATTAATCCATAGTCATGCCCTTATCCAGCCGCATGAAGTTTGGGGGAACATCTAGATATAAGCCATAATGGGTATGTACATGTTAATTATTTTTCAGTTTTTATTCGTACATCTTTGCAGCCCATAATGATTACCATCCTCATGGAAAGTTGTATGTACGACATCCTAATTCTTTTTTTATCCCCTTCTCTTCTCCCTCTCCCTCCACTCTCCATTTTCTGGTCCCCATCCCTTTTGCAAAAGAGCTGGAGCTGTGATATCTATAGAAGAAGGCATAGCCATGTGATAAGATGGGAAAAGAAAGAAAAAAATATTTGAATAAATGTGTAGTTCAGTCTCCTTCCCATACCTAGCAACAAGGGAGAGGGAGATGGTGGGGAGCCAGGGAGAATTGGCAGAGCAGTGTGTCCTGGTTTTTCTTGTTTATCCACCTCCCCCTAAACACATTCAAGGCAGCTCTTTGTCTCTAGAGTCCCTCCATGCTACACCCTGATTTCCAGCAAAATGACCTAGTTCCAGCTAGGTGTGGTTGCTCAGGCCTGTAATCCCAGCACTTAGGAGGCTGAGACAGGAGGATCATTGCAAGTTCAAGACCAGCCTGGGCTACAAGACGAGCTCAAGGCCAGGCTGAACTGTATAAAAGAGACCCTGTCTCAAAAAGACCAACAAAACAAAACAAACAAAAAAAATCTAGATCAGAATAGATACCCAGTGTCCATTTTTAATTTCTTGCCCCCAAAATTTCAGTGGATTGATCAATTTTGCATATTCTCAAATGTGACATTTTTGTAAATTAATATGAATCTTCAAAGTAAGGGGGGGGAGCAGAAATTGAGATTATCTGTAGTTCCATTATCCCAGTTTTGCCGAAGATAACAGTTTTTGTTTTTTACTTTCTGCATGAAATTTATACATTCCTAGAAAAATTCAAGCAATGAGAATTTAAAGAGAAAAAATTTTATTATGTTCCATTGTTACAGGTGTTCCAAAGATGGAACACAAGCACGGAAGGGTTAAAATGGTCACCCTTCTTAAATCTTTGTCAGGTTCCTAAAAAGTTGAGAAAACACTACTGTTTTGCCTTCTCACCAGATAATTATCAGGGATGGATCTGTTTGCTCCATTGCTAAGAATATGACCTGAATGTCAGCTTTTCCCTGCTGCTTGCCTCTAGTTGGACAGCCACAGAGGGGCCTGCAAACGTCTTCATTAGTCAGGTGAAGCAAACTTGTTTTCATGGAAGCTTTGTTTCTGTTGGAGATGAGAAGGAAGGAAAGATCTGCATTTAGGCTTGCCTAGAGTTGTCTGTGCGATTAAGCCTGGAGGCAGAGTAGGTTACTTTTTTTTTTTTTTTTAATCAGTACTGGGGATCGAACTCACAACCGCGCGCTTGTAAGGCAGGTGCTTATGCTACTGAGGTAAACCCCCAGCCCTGGCAGAGTAGCTTTCTAAATTCAAAGATAATTCTTCTTGGTGGGTATTTCAGACATTATTTGGACTAAACTGAAATGTCAGAGCTATAGGCCCGTAACCCCTATAATCACCACCACCACCCGTCCTCTCAGAAAATGCGCTTTTCTCAGATATGCTGTCTCCCCTGGGCACCGCAGAGCAGTGATGGTTGTGTGCCAATCCCGGTGAACATATCATACTGTTCAAAGGTTAAGTGTTTTTAAGTGACGATTGGTGATATGAGTGAAGGCAGTTGACCTGAGTAGCAGGTTTGTAGGAGTTCTGTTGCCAGCTCTGCTGAATCAGGCAAGTTCTCCTCTGAATCAGTTAAGCCCTTTTCTTCTGCCAAGTATACCCATCTAGTAAGTATTTGTATCACTAGCATTTTCACGCTGAGATAGAGTAATTTTTACAGTTAACTATAGTTGATTTATTTTTAGGATACCAAGTATTGTAACTTTCAGATTTATTTTGTTTTGCTTCACTTTGTTTTTGACATAGGTTATTGCTTTATAATTCACACTGGCTGTGAACTTAATGTAACCCATGCCAGCCTCAAACTCACGGTGATCCTCCTGCCTCTGCCTCCTGAGTGCTGGGATTACAGATGTGTGCCAACAGATAATTTTTTTAATATAATGACAGCTCAGATAGACAAGTTTAAAAAATCTCAGTAGCAGCTTTTTTGATATAATTCACATACTGTAAAATTCACCCATTTGACGTATGTAGTTCAGTAATTTTTAGTACATTCAGAGTTGTACAACCATCACCAGTGTCTATAAGTTTAGAACATTTTCACACCTTAAAAGAAACTGTACCATTAGTAATCAGTTCCTATTCTCCTCTGTCCTCTCATCCTCTTAGCAGCTACTAATCTAATTCCAGTCGCAATAGCAATGGTACCAAACCTATAGCATGTGTGCCACAGCAGACACACAACTTGAACAAGCCAAGTAACCCCAGCAGAGGTTTGACAAATTAATCAGCATGCGTACAACAGTAAGGACCCCATTGATTATGCAAAAGCATATCAAAAGCAAACTTTCTACCTTTCAATCAAAAGGTGTTCATACCATCAAAAGATCTTACTGTGTTTTTCTTTTAAGACAAAAGATGTTATTGTATGAGATTTTTTTCCTAAACTAAAACCTCATTATTCAGGTTGAATTGCAGTCTTGGCACTTTGTGATAGGTAAGTGAGTTTTGGGTTGCAGTTTGGTAGAAAGATTCGCTATCAGTGCTCTCTAGATTTGCGTGTTCTAGACATTTCATATAAATAGTCATACAGTATGTGACGTTTTTGGAACTGCCTTTTACTTAGTTTATTTTCAAGGTTCATTCATGTTGTAGAATATGTTCACCTCATTCCTTTTTAATGGCATATTCTATTTTATTAATATCTCATTTTTTTACCCATTCATCAACTGATCAGCAATTTTTTAAAAAGAATAATTTTTAAACTTGTAAATTTTTATTTTTCCAGGGGACCTAAGGGCTATTGACTTACTTTGGCCATATTTAAGTAAGGTTCTACTTCCTGTTTTGAACCTACTCACTATTCTACTAAGTGTTGTCTTCCAAAAGCTTTCCTCTTGTAGTAATTAGTCTCAGTCACTAGCTAAAGGACTTCTCTGAGCAAGCATCGTAAATATGTAATCTTATTAATCATGATCCATAAGAAATGAGATCTGAGTTAAAAGAGAATGAGAATTAGAATGAATCAATTATTACACATGAATTTTAATTAAAGTATTTTTAATTACCCACCTTAGCCTTCCTTAGATACTTAGTAAAATGCTGTGGAAAGCATTCAAGAAAGCCAGGGTATCACATTGCTACAGCCTGACCAGTTTTTAAAATAATGAAATTCTTTTCTAGTAGGTCAGCAGTCACTCTTGGGGGCATCGGTGGTCCACTTTTGCTCTGTGTCTTCCCCATATCTCAGTAGGTTATCCACAAGCACTCCAGGTCCACAGTGATTTAACTGTTCAATATCACTGTTACCTCCACAGGAAATGATCGCTGTTTTGTAAAGTGACAGGCATATTAAGTGAGGTAGGAGACCAGAGTCTTAGTCACACCTTTATTATTAGCTAACCGTCGTATTGGCTGAGCCACTCCTGTGAGTGTTGTATCCTCAAGTTCTTAATTAGAAGAGTAATGCCACCCTAAGTACTGTATAAACTCTTACAGGAGATGACAGTAAATATGTATTATATGCTGTTACCTGTGGAATTGTTATTATTGCTTTAGCTTAATTCTTTAAGAAAGTATTTTCAGAGTGAATAAATACTAATACATATGCAAAGGGACTGTAGTAAGTCTTAAGCTTTACTACGTGCTTTGCAGAAGACTTGCTGAAAGTTACTGAATCCATGAACTTTCTTAGTATTCACTATGTAATTCTGTTAAAGATTTCTTTTTTAAAACACTAGAGTTTGATGAAAAGTGTGATCATTGGTGTTTTTATTTTTTTGCTCAATATACTAGGTATATATCAAATCAGCAAACAAATTAAAGCCCATGATGGCAGTGTATTCACACTTTGTCAGCTGAGAAATGGACTCTTATTAACTGGAGGAGGAAAAGACCGAAAAATAATTCTGTGGGATCATGATCTGAATCCTGAAAGAGAAATAGAGGTAAGGGTGAAAATGGAACATTAAAAAATATTCAAGATTATCTGGTCATTTTGTCCCACAGTATGGTAATTTAACTTTTCAGGGAAATCGTATGTTTTTATTATTTCACTCTTCCCACATAGGAAAGAGTTTGTTACTAAAAAAAATAATATTAAAATAATGTAAAAGAATTTTTAAAAAAAAAACAGTGAAATGATTACTGAGACCTTACATTGTGATCCCAAAATACAACTATCCAAACTTTAATTCAGCAGATAAGCCATTGAACACTACTCAAGTCCAGGATAAACAAAATGACCAGTTTAGTTTTAAACTTGAAAATAATTTTTAAACTTCGAGCTTACTAGAGCTGCTAATTGTATGTGGATGTGTCTGCACCACAGCCTGGAAGAGGCATAACCAGGAGACATAGTAAGTATTATGTGCTCAAATGAAGGTTTGCTAGTTACATTGAGATCTCGGGAAGTAAAATATAATGTTTTAGATTAGTGATACTTAAACCAAGAACAAATCTCAGTTTAATGTTACTCCTATTTTTTGTTCACTTAAATTTTGAATTTATGCTTAATGTTTTTTCTAAACATAACCTGCTTTCCAAAGTCTTCTGTGATGAAGAGGATTTTTATAGTATTGTTCTTGGGTTTATTTCCAAGAAGACTTACTTTGTTACAACCTTAAGTTCATATTGGAAATGTCACTTTTACTATTTCTTTCCTTCACAGAAAACTCATATCCTGTGTAATCAAAAACTGCAGACTTAGTTCACACCTTCCATAACCATTTCTAGCACATGTCATTCATGTTTTTAGGAATCATACAGTTTTTTAATGTTTGTTTTATTATTTTATGGTGCCAGGCTTTGAACCCAGGGCTTTTCACATGTTAAGAAAGTGCTCCATCCATGATTGAGCTATAGTCGCAGCTCTCAGTGATTTTAGATCCCACTGCATAAAGAACTGAATTATTTCATTCTTTGGGATCATAGTCCTCATAATTGCAGCTGTAATTCTTTATAATGCAGTTATCCTCCATATCTACAGAGGAAGACTAAGTCCAGGACCCACTGCAGTCCTGCAGACCCACGGATACTAAAATCCGTGGATGTTCAAGTGCCCTATGTAAAGTGGTGGCGTAGCTGTGTATACCTCCTGATGTCTTACTGGCTACTTTAAGGCATTTATACATTACAGTGCCTACTGCAGTGTAAATGCTGTGTAAATCGTTACCACTGTATTGCTAGAGGGCAGTGACAAGAGACAAGGACTGCACAGTACAGTACAGATGACAGTTGATCAAGTCCTTAGATGCAGAACCCCCAGACACAGAGGGCCAGCTGCCTGTTTGTATTTCAGTTTACAAAGAATTTTTGTGTTATTTTTTATTTTGACCCTTAAAACAATGGAGAGTAGGTAAGACATGTATTATTGTATACGTTATATTTCAAGTAAAGTAATTTTTCTTAGGCTAATTGACTTACCTAAAGTAATGTAAGTAATAAGTAACAAATACAGACCATTCTTCATGTTCTCTAGTAAACTTACTCTGTTTTTCTTTCTCTGTTTCTAACCCTTAGCTTTTGAAATCACATAAACCACAAACTTAAAATTAACAGAAACTAGCTGGGGATATAGTTGGGTGGCAGGACCATGTGTGAGGCTCTGGGCTAGAGTCTTCGCACTTTAAAAAAAAATAAAACCGGAAGCAAAGAATGTTGATAATATTGCATGATAACTTCTCTGAATAAAATTTGATTATCTGAATAACAGTATGAGATTCTATATTGTCTTCAGATTTAGAAATTTGTCATTCATTACCTCATAATTGCCCACCACTGTAAATGTAGCCATTAATCGTAGTAATTAATGCTTGTTAGTATGTATATATGTATTTATTTTTTCTAGGTTCCTGATCAGTATGGCACAATCAGAGCTGTAGCTGAAGGAAAAGCAGATCAATTTTTAGTAGGCACATCACGAAACTTTATTTTACGAGGAACATTTAACGAAGGCTTCCAAATAGAAGTACAGGTAAACCGTATTATGTCAGTGATTAACTAATTATTTTGATGATACCCTTTGGTTATTATAATAATGGGTGTCTTCCATTTTCCAGGGGCACACAGATGAACTCTGGGGTCTTGCCACACATCCTTTCAAAGACTTACTCTTGACATGTGCTCAGGACAGGCAGGTGTGCATGTGGCACTCGGTGGAGCACAGGCTGGAGTGGACCAGACTCCTGGACGTGAGTGAAGTAGACGTGGTTAATCTTTGCACATGCACACTGTGCACACTGGCAGAAGCAGCAGATGAAACAAAGTATTGGTTTAAGGCAGGAGTTAGAGGGAACTCTCAAGGTATGACGTGACCCTGCTTTAAAGAAGCAGAGTTACTACAAGCTCAGTTTTTCTCAGTTTCATAATTATTGGAGAGATTTCATAAAGATTTTCATAAATATTTGGACCTCAGTTACCGCTGCTCACTGACAGACTCTGTTCTGTCCTTTTCTGAGTGGCCTGTTACTGTGTTTTCTCCCTGCGACACCTAGAGAACTACCTGTTGTAGCCCAAAAGGTATACAAGATACTTACATAAGTTCTTGCAACTCCAAAGAACTGTTCGTTACTACTGTTCCTATTATTGGCCCACGGCCCAGCCACAGCAAGTTGTCCTCTTCCCCCTCCATTTCACTAGCACAGAGCCTTCACGCTCTGAAGTCTTTTTCCTCTCATGTCCAGTGTTGGCTGTAGTAAAGTTGAGCGGCTTTCCATGTCTGTATGAAACAAGTTATCTTGAGAAGTGTTTTTCCCATTGTCCCCGTTGGTGTAGGGAGCCTTTCTCATGTACTCTCCAACAGCTGTCTCGTCTGTCTTCTAGGAACCCGGACACTGTGCAGGTTTCCATCCAAGTGGCACAGTGGTGGCCATCGGAACGCACTCAGGCAGGTGAGGTCTTTATGGAGCTGAGTAACTGGCAGGTGTTTACATTGTGCCTCGTGCATGTTCTCAGTCTCACCTGGAGGATGGGCTTTAAGGAGCGCGCTCATATGCTTGCCACTCTGCTGTGCTACGTCTTCTCATGTATTGTTATTTATTAAGCACCTGCCTTTCATTTACTGCATCCTAGTGTGGGCTTTGGGGATATATCAGGGAGTGTCAAAAATCTTCCTTTCTGGAGCCCACATTTTAATGTATGTGAGGAGTGGAAACAAAGTAAAAACTTCCTATGATGGTAACTAATTATGTTACCGACATAGGAAGGGAGGGAAAATGGCGATTAGAAATGGGGATTGTTGGGGGGCTGGGGATTTAGCTCAGCGGCATAAGCGCCTGCCTTGCAAGCAGGCAGTCCTGAGTTCGATCCCTGGTACCGATAAAAAGGAAAAAGACAAAAAAAAAAAAAGAAATGGGGATTGTGTGGGGGTATAGTTACAAAAATGGGGAAACAGGATGGTCAGAATCAGCTTCATTGAAGAGGTAATAAAAGACGACTCTCTGTGAAATTAGAAATAGCAATTTTTTATTGTCCTTTATATCGGGAAAGTTTGAAGCTTATATAACTTGAGTAACATTTATTATCTGTATTTTTTAATTTGTTGTTGCAGTTTTTTTTGAGACAGAGACTCAATATGTAGTTCAGGCTGGCCTCTGACTTCCTGGTGATCCTTCTGCCTCAGCTGAAATTATAAATATATGCCACCATGCAAGGCTTATCTGTGTGGTGTTTTGTTTTTTTTTTTTTTTTTTTTTTTGTCTTTTTCCTTTTTATCGGTACCGGGGATCGAACTCACGACTGCCTGCCTTCAAGGCAGGCGCTTATGCCGCTGAGCTAAATCCCCAGCCCCTATCTGTGTGTTTTTAATGAACACCTGCTTAATGATTTTGCTGGTATCTGGTCACTGCCATGAAAACTTAATTATCATTTTAGTTTATGTGCTACCATAGCAAGGACCTTAATTTCCTTTTTAAGGGGGCAAAGAAAAAAATATGAAGTCAATTTACACAAAAAAGCTCATTTAAAAAAATCTGAAATGTTGATTTCTAGTAGGCATGAAACTGTTGTGAACACATTCATATAAATACCATTTTCTAGTTCATTTAATTCTAAATTTAGTCACTTAAAGTTTATTATGGCACATTTTCCCCTTTAGTTTTTGTATATAAATTAATACCTTTAAAAACTGAAAACCTTTAAATTCCTTTTCAAAATACAGTGCAATAAAGCATAAAGTTTCACTATCTCAGGTTTTCGTATTGTTATAGAGTTTAAAAACGTTCAGATTTGGACCAAATGGAAGCATATGATAGGTCTTTTGTAGAACTTTATTCAAAAGAAATTGTTTTCTTTAACCAGAAAATCACATAGGAATCACATTAATTACATAGGAAACCACCTAAACTGTAGCGCTGGTCTGGTCTTCAGTTCTGTAATTTTATCATCGAAACAGGTAGCAGAAAGGTTGTCATTGAGATAAACATTAAGAAATACCAATTACTGAGTACCAATGACAGACTTTGTGCTAAAATTCTTTTTATTTCCCTTTAGGGTATATTGGCCGTAGAGATTAGGTTTCATCTTGGCAGGTTCATACATGCATATAACACACTCAGCCGTAATATAGAACATACAGTGTTGGCCCTGACCTAGAAGCAACCAGGAGTAGCAAAAGCAATAGTGACAGTGACAGCTGTGAGACGAGGCAGGGCAGGAAGTGAGCCTGGTGAGTGGGCAGGTAGAAATTTTAACTGTGTTGTTTACTTGGACTCACAGAATCCTAGACTGAAGAGACTCGGTGATTGAGCTCAACTCACTGGTTTTGGTAGTGACCACAGCCTTGAGCAAGCCAGGGATGGAGCTAAAATACCATTAACAGATTCCAGCCCAGATACATTGACTGTGAGGCTTCTGAACTTGAGAAAAGTCTCTTCTGTTCAAAAATAAGGTGTCAAAGATGCATTAACAATAGCGAAGGAGCAAACTAATTAAAAGAAAACAGATTTTTCCCTGTGTATTTAGGTGTTAATTAACATAGCTCACAGCTACTCCTGAGTTAATTTCCTTGGGTTCACAGTGACTTCAAACTCCATCAGTGTAAATCTCCCCAGGTTCAAGTTCAAGGCCAGCCTGAAATACATAGTGAGACCCTGTCACAAAAAGAGAGCAAGAAAGAGAGACATGGTCCCTACTTCAAGTAGATCATAATCTAAGTACTACCTAAAAAGACAAAGAACGTCTGAATAGTTTAGTATTACTTAAATAGAAGGGCACTAATTCTTAGAGATCAGCAGAAGTGATTGTGAACCTGTGAGTGCTCAGAGAAAGCTTCGCAGAAGGGGGAGGACTGGGCTGCCTTGAAGGAAAGCTTAGACACTACAGAGGCAAGGAAAGAGAAGAGCTCGTATCAAGTAGAAGAATCTGATTGAGAAAACTCAGGAAACAGCAAATCATACCAACGGGGCTAGACCCATTCCCAAAGGCTTATTGATGCCTAAACAGTAATATGCAAACTTGTTAAGCTGACCTCTAAAAGCTCCCTGAATCCTTGCCTCACCACCCCAGCTAGAATGGTTAAGTTTCCCTTCATACATATTCATTCTGCCCACCCTGCCACATTTGACATGATAAATCCTCTGTGGTGACTGCCTGCCATGTAACCTCATTGTCCTTGTTACCCTGTTACTTAGCACTTGATTCACTCTGTGTCTCTCTGTGCACAAAAACCTGAGATTCCTTTTCTGGTCTCCTTGCTTCTAAATGTATCTCAGAGACAGAGAATTGTTCCTGTGGGATCAAAACCCTCTGTGTGACATACTAAAAAGCACGTAGATCAGAAGCTCTGCCTTGCTTCTGCTACCAACGAGCTGGCAGATGACTAATCAGGTGTTTTTATGATCACGGTATTTCACTATTCTTATAAAAAAAAGTAGGAAGCTTGAGTTTGGCTTTTCTCCATTTTTTACTTTATGTTGTCTAATTATAAAAACCACATTCCTAAGTAGAAAATTGTAAAGAAGCAAGAGGTGTTTACAAACCTACCTCCTAGCAGATACTTCATTATATTGTAATTGGTTTATATTTTTGTAATTTAATATCATAAACCTGAGATCCATCCATTTAAGGACTTCAGGGTACTTTCCAGCTCTAAAATCTTCTTGGCCACTAACTATCTTGTGCATGCTCCCACTGGCTCAAACCTACCAGTGTGGTACATGCATGACTGTCCCTTTGGCAGCTTGTACTACTGATGGTACAAATGGATCTAATCACGGTCTTTATCGGTCTTTTCACTAATAAAATTAATAAAAAGCTTCTCAATGTGACAGTCACATACATATACCACTGATTGTTTAAGCCTCCCAGCAGCAGAGAGAAACATTGCAAAAGTGTTACAGTCATCAAGATAAGCTAGCAGGATGGCACAAAGCAGCAATCTCAGCTACTCAGGAAGCTTGAGGCAGAAAGATTGCAAGTTCACTATCAGCCTGGCAATAGCTAGACCCTGTCTCAAAATACAAAAAGTCTGGGGTTGTAGCTCAGTGGTAGAGTGCTCACCTGGCATGTATGGGGCCTTGGATTCAGTCCCGTGGTACTGCTGTGATACTTGGCCCACATGTCCGATTACTATAAACATGTGGTCAAAGAACATTTACATTTAGAAAAGTCTAATAAGTCCTTTTTTAGTCCAAATAGAGACCCATAGTAATTGCATATTGTCATAAATGTGAAACTTGTGTCTAATGTATATAGTATAGTGGTGATGAGCTTAATGGCAAGAGTGCTACAGTGGGCTGTTTGTATCATTGAAAGCTCTGAAAGGTTCACCTGGCATCTTGTTTTCTGCTTTAACTTTGACTAGCAAAGAGACACAGTGAATACCTAAGTAGAAATGAGAATATGGCTACATTCACTTAGTGCCCCCCACACCCTAACCCCTGCTTACTGTATTTTGAGACAGGACAAGTTGCTCAGACTGGCCTCAAACTCAAGATTGTCATACCTCGTCTTCGTGCATAGCTGGGATTGCTGCATGCAGCATGGCAGCAGGATCATATAAGTTTATAGTATTTGTGGCAGCATTCAAAAGATTAATTTCTCAGGCCAGGGATCTAGCTTGAGCAGCACAGCACCTGCCTGGCAAACACAAGGTCATGAGTTCAATTTCCAGTACCAAAAAAAAGGAAAAAGAAATCATGTCTAAAACTTAAAGATTGTTGCTGCTGGCACTTTTAAAATTAAAAGTGGGCTGGGTGTGGTGGCACACTTCTGTAATCCCAGAGCTCATGAGGCTGAGGCAGGAGGATCATTGCAAATTCAAGACCAGCCTGGGCTGCAAAATGAGCCAAAGGCCAGCCTGAACCACATGGCAAGAGCCTCTCTCTCTCTCTCACTCTCTCTCTCTCTCACTCTCTCTCTCTCTCTCTCTCTCTCTCTCACTCACACACACACACACACACACACACACACTAAAAATGGGCTGGACAAGGCTGGGGGATTAGCTCAGCAGCATAAGCACCTGCCTGGCAAGCGAGAGATCATCAGTTTGATCCCCAGTACCAAAGAAATAAATTTATAAAAAATGGACAAAAAGGAAATATTTTTTCTGTAAATGCTAATATATGAAGAAATTTTGTTTTTTACTTAACAGGTGGTTTGTTCTGGATGCAGAAACGAGAGATCTAGTTTCTATCCACACTGACGGGAATGAACAGCTCTCTGTGATGCGCTACTCAGTGGGTAGGCAAAGATCTCATCCCTTGGCTGCATTTGTGTATTTTTACTTCAGATAAAGCGGAGTCCTTTTTTCTCTGTTCTCTAAAGTTAAGTATCAGATTGGTTTCCATACATCACATTACATTCCACTACTGGAACTACAAAAAAATCTGAAGTCATCAAGCAAACAAATGAATTGTCACAGTTGTATTTGTAACTGAAAATAGAATAAAAAACAATTAGATCCCTTTTTTTAATATCTATGCATACTTAGAATTTTGAATAGGTATTAAGCTGTTTTATTACATCTGGTTTGCAACTTTTTCTTTATACATTACAGTATAAAATACAGTAATCAAAATATACAGATATTGACCACAAATATTCAAGTCCTTTAGAACTCAGATACATTATTACTGATTACATAGTAATGATTGACTCTTAATTAGATAAAAGACTTAACAATTTATTATAACTCCAGCTCTCAGTAATTCTTGTTGTATTTATTCAAACTTTATTCAAAATGTTAATTACATTTCCATAATAATATTAGTTGCCTTTTCCCAGTATTATTGTGGTTTTGATATAGGTTATCTTACCTAGACTTAGATACTTTCTTGTGTTTGACAGTATATCCTAATCATTGTTGGATCAATATCCAAAGAATTTTCATTGCTTCTTACTTGTTTTAAAGGAAGTAAAAAATGCTGTTCTCAGAATTAAAGATTGAAAAGTATGTGCTTTGTGCTATAAACCTAAAAAGTCATGTTGAAGCAGCAAGGCTGTTCTGTTTTGTTCTTGTTAATTTGTTTCTAATGCTGTAGTAACAAGTAACCACTACAGATGTAGCTGTTAAAATCAAAAGATCAGCAAACTTCATTGTGATCTGCTCTGTGCTTAGTGCTGTGGTAGATACAATGGAGGAAACCATAAAAGGAGAACTGCCCCTTCCAAGATAACCTGGCCCATAATTGGACGGATCTTGTGCACTGGCTGAATTAAGCAGCTGTATACCTCGCTTGCCATACAAACACTGTCCCTCCACCCATCAAGGCATAGTAACCCCGCTTTTGCCAGTTATTAGCTAACTGGAAGGAGGCAAGCATAGATGGACCCCACCACCACCACCAAGGCCTGTGAGCATCTACAAGAAGGGCTGCTATGTTGGCTCCTTATTTATTTTTCAGATGTGCTTAGTGATGAGATTTGTTCATCAAATGTCAAATAACACTTACAGTGATGAGATTTAACATTTGCAAAATACCAGTTATTGTAGATCCAGTAAACTCGCAATAAGTCTACCAGCGTATTTCTCTGATGAACACTGTTTCCTGTGTCATTCTAGATGGTACTTTCCTGGCTGTAGGATCTCATGACAACTTTATTTACCTCTATGTAGTCTCAGAAAATGGAAGAAAATATAGCAGATATGGAAAGTGCACTGTAAGTATTGATGTAAAATACAGTAAGTTATGAAACTGCTGGGAAAATTGACTTCTTAGAAAAATTAAATGTTTACATTGATCTATCTTGTTTTCTATTGTTAGCTACTTTAAACTTTAATCTCTTTTTTAAAACTGAGATTACCAGGCTGGGGATTTAGCTCAGTGGCATAAGCGCCTGCCTGGCAAGTGCAAGGTTGTGAGTTCGATCCCTGGTACGAAAAAAAAAAGAACACTGAGAAATAACCTAAGAGAACATTGTGGCTCCCTATTCACTCTAGAATGACACTTCCTTTTGATCGGAGTTTAATATCTGTGTCTCTCACTAGGCTTCAGGTAGTTTTCTTAAAGCCTTTTCTATGAGCAAAAGTATGAGTAACCCTTCCTCAAAGTGGAGGAAGAGAGCAATAAAAGGCCTCTGACTTTCAATGTTCACGTCCTGCCCACCTGTCTCTCTATCCTGTATCTCTTCTCTGCCTCTAGAAATGAAGTAATTTATATGGAGATGTCTGCATTTAAGAGTTAGTAGAAACATGTTTCCTGTGATTTGCTGCCCATTTCTAATTTGCTTACATTATTTTTAGTTGATCTGTCTTTTTGTCACAGAGCAGGGTATTATTGAGATCTCCCAATACATTTGTATTAAGGCTTATTTGATTTTTCATGTCCATTAATAATTGTTTTATGTAACTGGGTTCGCTAATATTTCTTTCATACCTTTTTATGCTGGTTATGTCTTCCTCTTGGATTGTTCCCTTTACCAGGATGTAGTAACATTCTTTATCTCTCTTAATCAGTCTTGGCTTGAAATTCACTTTATCTGCAAATAGAATAGCAACCTCTGCTTTTTTCTGGGCTCCTGTCCCATACAGTATTGTTTTCCATCCTCTAACTTTCAGTCTATGAATTTCCTTTTGAATTAAATGTGTTTCTTGTATAAAGCATATTGTTGGATCTTGCTTCTTGATCCATTCTGCCAGTCTGTCTTTTGACTGGTGAATTGATACCGTTAACATTGATGGTTAAAACTGATCTGTATTGATTTATCCTTGTCGTGTTACTTTCCTATTATTGGCTTTCTTTCCCCTCCCTGCCCCCACGCATCTTCTTCTTCTTCTTCATCGTCTTCATCTTCTCCTCCTGCTCTTCCTCCTCCTTTTTCCCTTCCCTTGTAATTGTTTGCTTTCCTGCTGGATTCCTTCTGTTGGGGTTCATGGAGTTGTAGTCCTTATTATCTCTTTCCAGAATGTCCTGCAGAACATTTTGGAGTGCTGGCTTAGTGGTCATAAATTTCCTCACATGTTCTTTGTCGTGGAAGAATCTTATTTCTCCATCAGTTTTGAAAGACAGTTTTGCAGGGTACGTCAGTCTGAGTTGAAAGTTGTTTTCCTTTAGAACTTGAAGTACTTCACTCCAAGCTCTCCTTGACTTGAAAGTTTGTGTTGAGAAGTCATCTGCAATACTGATGGGCTGTCCTTTATAGGTGATTTGTTTCTTTTCTTTTCTTTTCTTTTCTTTTCTTTTCTTTTCTTTTCTTTTTTATCAGTACCGGGGATTGAACTCACGACTGCCTGCTTGCAAGACAGGTGCTTATGCCACTGAGCTAAATCCCCAGCCCCGGGTGATTTGTTTCTTTTCTGTAACAGCTTTAAAGATTCTGTTCTACTGTTGAATTTCCAGAATCTTGACTGATGTGCCTGGGTGTAGATTTTTATTTTTGATCATTGCTATGTGGAGTTCTGTATGCCTCCCTTATTTGTATGTCAGCTTCTTTTCCTCTACCATCACAATGTCTGTGAAGATATTTTTAATGTCATTTGTGATATCACCTGCTTGTTCAATAACTCCAATTAATCTTAAATTATCATTCTTCTTCTCATCTAGCAGCTACTAGATTGATTCCTCATGTTCCCTTGATAGTTTTGAGAAATTTTTCTTTTCCTGGTTGCTAACTGTAGTCCTGTCTTTAATATCTGAGATCCTGTCCTCCCATTGGCTTAATCTGCTTCAAATACTTTCAGTGGAGTTTTTATTCTCCTGCATATCTGCTTGAATCTCTCTGCTTTATGGATTCCATTTCTTTGCTATGCTGAGCTTCCATAATTTGCTTAAGCTCAGATATCTATGTTTTTGTCTGTGTCTGCTCTAACATGACTAAACACGGTGTGTGTTTGATAATCTCTATAGTTATTTGAGAGATTATTTCTGATTTCATTTTTTCCAGAGCCTCATTCAGTTGCTTTGTTACCATTTCAGAGAGACCTGGTGGGGCTTTGGGATTTTTCAGGCTCAGTGCCCGCTGGGTTTGCCTTTGGTGAACTGCTTGTCTGAGGTTGTGTCTTGTTTAAATGTCTTCTCATATTTTTTCAACGGAATGTAAAACAGTTATACACAATATATAAGACCATAATATATCAACTGTGGCCTCAAGGGTTAAGATTCAAAATGGATTAAAGAGAAAACAGAAAAGGGGGAAAAGAGATTACAAGTAGGTTGAAGGACAAAGATAGGTCCCGCCAGCTTGGGGAAACTGATACAGAAGACTGAAGGACAAGAGAGTGAGAAGAGGTAAAGGAAGAAAAGAACAAACCACACCCACCTTCACACTCAAAAAAAAACAGTAAGAGGAAAGAAAAAAAACAAGGAAAGAAGAAAACAAACAGTCCACTTGTAGGATTATCTCTGAATTCACTAGCTGACAGCTCTGGAAACAGCGTCCTGAATCATGCTACTGTGTCCCCGCAAGCCAGGAGGTGCTTTATGACAGAGTAGCAGCCAGCCTTAGCAGGCCCGCCCCAGACCAGATTCACTGTGGGCTCACTGCAGTCCAGAGCATTTCCATGGCTCTGCACCCTGCTGGGAGCTGCCCAGGAAGCGCGGTGGTTCTGGTTCCGGGCTTATCCGGCTCCCAGCCAGGCGCTCCCTCCTGCCAGAGGACCGCGGCCTCTGCACTCACCACCACCAGCCAGCACGGTCCTCCACGTCCACCACTCCCCTCCACTACTGAGTTTCCCCAGAGGCCTCCGGGGTAGCCACCCGCCACCGTCACATGAGCACACGTCCCCAGGTTCCTGCAGCTCCCCGCAAGCGGTGAGTCCGGCTCCAAGCCAGGGCACCGCCAGCTACTGCCTTCTTCCTTGAAATTTTTCTTGTTACTCTCTCTGTGGGATTCAGTTCACACTTCAGACGCTTTCTGGATGCAGGGGACCCACTTTCTTCCTTCTGGTCTTCCTCATGATGGTATATTCCCACATCTGGCTGGTATTTCAGAGAGGCTGTTTGCTCTGCTGCTTGCTACCCCACCGTCTTCCCAGAAGTTGATTACATTGTTTTTACAAGCTGCAAATTAGATGAACTCTGTACACAACTGAGTACTTTCTGTATGGCAGGAATCTACTACCTAGAAAAATTGTCTAGACACCAGGATTATGTGCAAGGAGTAGCCGTTTGTCTTCAGGGCACAACTGAGAGGGAAGGTATAGCTCATATTTGAGGCCTGAGTTCCATCCCCACACAGGGTGTTTCAGTGCAGACTATATCAGACTACTTCGATTTGATTTGTTTTGTTTTTTTGTTTTTTGGTATTAGACATGGAACTCATGACCTGGTGCTTGCCAGGCAGGCGCTTGTGCCGCTGAGCTAAACGCCCAACCCCTGATTTGAATTCTTCATCACTTAAACCTGAGCTATGTTGAGCAAATCACCTGAAGAACCTAGTTCAGTTTTCTCACTTATAAAGCAAAAATAATAGCGGTTCTGAATTCACAGAATTAAAATAATTTAATGCATGTGAAATACTTAGGCTAGTGTTTCGCATATAAGTACTCAGTAGATGTTAACTAGAGAAAATAAGGTGGCTTGGAATGTATGTTAGGAAATGAGTTTAGGATTAGAAGTCACATGTTGAGCTAATGGCACACAGATCTTTTAACAGTCCTTACCATAGCATTTCATTTTGAGAGAATCAGTAAAATAATTCTCAGAAACATACATGTTACAGTAACCAAATAAACTTCAGTATGAATGTGAAATTTATTTTTACAGTGTACAGATTTAGTGTCTCTTATCCAGAATTCTTGCTGAGGGCCAGGGGTATAGCTCAGCAGCAATGCGCCTGCCTGGCAAGCTCAAGGTGCTGAGTTCGAGCCCTGGTTCCAAAAAGATTGTATCAGTTCATTCACAGAATTCTTGCCTAGCATGCCCAAAGCCCAGGTTTTGATCCCTAGCAGAGAAGGACAGAGAAGGAGGGAAAAAGAAAAGCAAAGAAAGAATAAAGGAAGTTTGGGAACAAAAATTTTGAAATTTTGGATTTTTGGATTTCAGAGTATGCATGTATATATTGGTGTGCATAAGATATCTTGGTATGATACTGAGATGGGACTCAAATCTGGACATTTATTTGTTGCATGTACAACTTGTATGTGTATACTGAAGATAATATAAGTAAAGCAGGCCATTTACTGTTTGAGAAAGAGACTTGCCTGTTTTTGTATATACTGTATATTTGTAACATAAGCCAAAACCAGACCATTTTTAAAGTAGCCTGCATCCAAACTCAGTTGTAAAACTTACCCAAAATATTTTTGACATGAGAACAATATAAACTGTCCTCTTTTTTTTCCATTAATATATTCAAATTTTTTTTTGCTATTTTTGCCAGTAGTGGACATTGAACCTTGGACCTTTGTGCTGAACTCCAGCCCAGCTCTTTAGTTTTTATTTTTTGGGACAGGGTCTCACAGAGTTGCCCAGGCAGATGTACATATTTGTGATCCTGCTGCCTCAGCTTTTCAGCATGCTAGGGTTGTGCAACACCATGACCAGCCTATCAGTTTATCAACTTCATGTTTGTGTTATGAAATATGTACAGCATCAAATGAAATGATTCACTGTAAGGAGTTTTCAGACTAAAAGTTTCCAATGCCTTAGATTTTTAATCATTTTCAATTTCGGCATTTTAAAAAAGTTCCGTCTTCATAAACAGAACATGCAAAATATGAC